CAACAAGCGGGCTCCCCGGGGGGCGCTTAGCGCCCCGCCAGCTGCCGCGCGGGCGGTTATCTGTCTGGCGGCGCGTTTGGCTCGGGCCCGCCCCCCGCCCCCGCCGTGACCTGGGTCCCAGGTCGTTTTCCGCGGCAGCCTCGGAGGTTCTGGGGTGCGGCCAGCTCTGGGTGTGCGCCCAGGGCGCACCCACCGGAGCCTCGACGGGGCTGGGGGCTGCTGGAGCCTGGGCGTGCCTGCGTATTGGTGGAGGCTTTGCTGGGAACTTCTCCCGAGGCTACAAAACTTCCCGCTGGCCAACACTATCGGTTTCCCTAAAAGAAGACACAGTCCGAGTTCTGCACCCCTAGTTCCGCACTCTGGCTGTTATGAAATTGAGTTTCACTAAATTTTCACCTTGAGGGGATCGTGGTACACGCATCCTCAGTCCTCACCCCGCCCCCACCGCGGGACAAAGGGGACGCCCTCTCGGGCCGCCTGCGGGAGGGGGTCTCTGGCGGCCTCGCGGCCCCCTGACTGATGGTTCCGGGCCAAGGGCCGTCCCGGAGGGTCTCCTCCTCTCCTTTGAGCTTTCTCACGATCTCCCAGCCCCTCAAAGGCCAGGAAATCACCATGTGTTAGTGTCCTAGACAATCCTCGAGGAGGGGACAGGCCGATGACCCGGGAGGAGGCGGCAGGCCGCCGTGTGAAATGTAACAAAACGCCGTTTGGTTTTGCTTTCAGTCGGGGCTGTCAGAGGACAAGGGAAAGACGAGTCAAAGGTGGAAGACGACCCGAAGGGCAAGGAGGAGAGCTTCTCGCTGGAGAGCGATCTGGACTACAGCTCGGATGACAATCTGCCCGGGCCCGCGGCGCACAAGGAGGAAGAGCCGGGCCACGCGCTGGAGGAGCCCCCGGCGAGCGGTGGCGGCGCGGGCGCCACCACGTCCACCGGCAAGAACCGGCGGCGGCGGACTGCCTTCACCAGCGAGCAGCTGCTCGAGCTGGAGAAGGAGTTCCACTGTAAGAAGTACCTGTCGTTGACCGAGCGCTCGCAGATCGCCCACGCGCTCAAGCTCAGCGAGGTGCAGGTGAAAATCTGGTTCCAGAACCGCAGGGCCAAGTGGAAACGGGTGAAGGCCGGCAACGCCAACTCCAAGACAGGGGAGCCCTCCCGGAACCCCAAAATCGTCGTCCCCATCCCGGTCCACGTCAGCAGGTTCGCCATCCGAAGTCAGCACCAGCAGCTGGAGCAGGCACGGCCCTGAGCGTGGTGGCCTGGGCCTGACACCCACACCGTCCAAGTCGCGCTGTGCCCAAGGGACTGGGGCGCGCTCACGCTGAAGCAGAAACTCAAAGACACCCCCAACTCCGGACCTCCCCAGCAGATTGAGAATATCTTCATTCCCCAGGCTGCCAGGACGGCTTCTGAAGGGGCAGAGCCGCACGGGAAAGGCGCTCGAAATATTTATTATACGCCCCTCCTTTGTACATAGATATCTATATAGACTGGATCGCGACTGCAGTACTTGGAAAGTTCTAGGACCTCATGGCGCAGGCAGAGCCCCAACTCACATTCAGCAGAAAGCCCGTCGTCGTCGCTGTCCCTCGCTGTCTGTGTAACAGCCGCCTTTCCCTTCTGCCCAAAGGTAACGCCTCACCCAAGAGCAATGCTGGGGTTGAAGCTTATTTTTTTGCTTCCGGTTTGGTTTCAGTGTGTTTGGTTTGTTTTGGTGTTTACTTTGCTTTGTTTTTTTTTTTGTTTGTTTGTTTGTTTTATTTTCGAGTTGACTAGCAAGCGAGGAGTTCGCTCTGCTTTGGTCCGATTCTGCCTGGCTTCCTGTCCCGGTGGCAAGTCCACTCTGGGGCGTGTCTGAATCTGAAGCATGCCTCGGCTGTGTTTAATTTATTTCAATGTAGCTTATTTTCTTTTAAGTTATGACATTTAAACAATCTCAGTCTTGTGAATAATAAAAAGAGATTTAAGAAAACAACAACTCCAAACAGAACAAGACCACTCCCTGGGCCTCCTGAGCGGTCCAGACTGACCTGGGGCCAGTACTGGACAGTCGTCCTCAGTCCCGGTCACCTCGGGATGGCTGGGCCGGAGCCCCACTGCTCCTGTCAGGTGTCACATGGGAGAACGAGGGTTCCAGCTAGGTTCTGGATTCAGGGAAACCTAACTTCACTGTAGAAAGCAAACCTCTTCCCTCCTCTATGTAGCCTGTGTCCAAGAGGCTGATGGACTTGAGGCCAGGAGATGGGGGCTCCTGGGAGGAAGCAGAGAATAGCGGTGCCTTAGCCTGGACTCCTGCTTCTGGGAATTGAGTTGAGCCAGGGAGAAGATAAGTTTAATCTCCTCAACCAGGAACGGAGAGGGACTCAAAGCCTGGCAAGGCCAGGGTCCATAGTTCAGGAGAAGTCCCACCTTGTGCCAGGCACAGGTGCCCAGCCCAGTGAGCTCTGAGGCAGAGGTGGCAGGCTGCATGTGGAGGGTCCCTGGAAGCGCCCGGGGCTGCACAACCTCTCCAGGCTGGGTCACCCCTAGGGCACTGGGTCAGGAGGATGGGGCGCCATGAGTTGGGGTGCTCCCCGCTGGCCATTGGTCTGTGTTTTCCCAGTCTGGGCATCAAGGGAAGGGAGCAAAGAGTCCCCACATTGCAGCTGATGCTGTGTCTAGCTGGGTCCTCAACACCTTGTCTTCCCCTAATCCTGCAGGCCAGGCTGGGTGTCAGCAGCCAGGTCTGTGGTGGTGGAGGGATGGTGAGACCACAAAGCCCACAGCGAGAGGAGAGGAGAGGAGAGAAACTGGGGGCTCTGGCCACCTCCGCCTTCCCGGGAGCTCAGCGAGGCTTCGTGCTCTCTGGATGCTCAGCCTGGGGAAAGCACTGCCAGGGACACCACTAATATTGACTCCATGAGGCCTCACCTCCCTGAGGCTGAGGGCCAAGCCACTTCTTCCTGGCCTGGCCTGCTTTGCCGCTGCGCTCCCAGGACTCCCAGCAATGGATGGGCCCTGCTGGGCTCCTAGGCCTCTACCCTGGCAAGGTGCACCAGGCCTGGGTGTCCCCAATCCTGCTTTCTGATGTGCACCCTGGTCGGGTCAGTGGATGCCATCTGGGCACGGCCTCACTGGCCACACCACACACGTACCAGACTGTTCTCAGACCTAGTGTGTGCTGGAGGGACTAGAGCGCAGTCCTGGTGACAGATATGAGAGCTGCAGACTCCCAGGCAGAGCGCCCCCACCTGACACTCTAGGGCAGGGGTCCTGGGCATTAAGAGCGGGAGCCAGGCACTCCCGGACATCCTGGTAAGTAACCACCACCCACTTTTCTCAAAAGCCCATTCCAGGCGTTGGGGTACAGAGGGGAGGTCCTATTGCATAGCCACTCCCCTGTGGCAGCTGCACCCTCAGTCTGGGGAAAGTGGAATCCCTTCGGGGAACCCCACTCTGGGTTGAACTTGCTCCTCCTAAGCCTGGCGGCCCTCCTGGGGCTCCACAGCACCCCCACTCCTCTGCCCTCTCGGCCGCCTGGAGCCCCTGAGTCCCGCGGGAGGCCCAGCCCCGGAGACAGGCCGAGGGAGGAAGATAAACAAGCCCCGCTTGATGGCCGCTGTCATCATGGCTTTCATTTGGCTGCCTAATGAGTCACATCACAGGCAGAGAGAAAAATTGTCAATCGCCCGGGCCCTAATGAATTTTTTTGCAAATTGTAATCAAGCCAGGCCGTCTCAGCTGGCTGATTAATGAGACCCACGAGGCTCGGCCAGCACCTCAGCTTTTTATTCCATCCCGTCCTCCCTGCACTAAATTAACAGCAACTTGTCTGAGCTTCAAATTAACTCCCAATGATTAATTCTGATGGGGGGGCCTGAAGAATAGCTTCTTCTAATAGGCTCTGGCCTGAGACGCTGTTGGAAATTAATACACTTCCCCTTTGGCTGCCGGCTTTAATCCAAGGCTGGGTTTTGACATCACTATATTTGTTGTTACAATAAATTCCACTTACATCTGCAGATCAAATAATTACGCTGGAGAACGCAGCGGACCTGCACGCTCAGCCGACCTGGGGTGCCTCTGGCCTCCCCTACCGGGTCCCCACTGGCTAGGGTAGGAATACGAGGCCCTGGAGACTGCCAGTGGATAAGGTGACCCCTACCTGGAGCCCAGGACCCCAGCCCTGAGAGTCTTGAGATAGGAATCCTGTGCCCTGCCACCTCCCTCCCCCAGTTACTGCCAAAGTCGAGGGGTGCCCTCTGAGCTGCTAGGTGGGACTGTGAGACCATGGTCTCCAGAAAACACTTCTGTGGCCTGACTGAGCCTTCTCAACCCCAGGATGCTCTGGAATTTTCCAGAAGGAGTCCTTGCTTAGCGCCTATCTGTGCCCTCCTGCTTTCCTACACCCCCCCTTCCCTCTATGATTCTTTCGTAAATGCCCTTTTCGTGAAATTGAGGGAAGCTTGGTGCCCCACATCTTTCTCTCGGGTTGCCTGGAAGGCCCATCCTGGCTCAGGTCGTCCCCACACCGCCGATCCTCCGAGAGCTACTGGGCTCAGCTCCCGCTCCGTCTTGCTTCTGTTCTAGCTAATTGGCGTCATCATTTTAGCGGTGCCTCTCCAGCCTCCAGCGGGCCTCGCAGTGGCCCCTCCAGCCAGGTCTTGCCAGGCCGGGGCGGCGCTGCTCCTCGATGCCGGCTGGCCTCCCTCGCGGGAACCGGGAGCAGTACGCTGTGACCTCGGCCTGGGGCGCACGCACCGCTCCGTTACAGCCTCAAGGCTTCCCAGCCCCCAGCCGCGTCCTCCTGAGTCAGTGGCTGGAGCGCCCTTGCCAGTCACCTGTGGTCCGGGGCGGCCAGCGAGGAGGCGCCTGTGCATGCGCCCCATTTCTGTCCCCAGAGACCAGGCCTCCGTACAGCGCGCCCTGGCCCTCCTGAGCGCCCAGGTTCTCTGAACCCGCCGGGGGCTTTGAGGTCCGTCACCCACCCACACCCCCCACACCCCCGCAGCTCGGCGCGGAGATGGGGCAGCTGCAGTCGAGAGTTTGGGGGAACCGCGGCCCAGGGGTCTACGGGGAGCAGCCTAGGCTCATAGAAGCACATTAATCTTCATTTCGGGTCCTTATGGTGCAAACAGGAGAAATATGATCTTGGTAAGCGAACGTGAATGCAAATCACCCCGTCAGTAATAAAGTACCTGGACCCCCGACACAGAAAAGCAACACCATATGCAGGAAGACAACATGAATTATAAATTACATCATCAACATTGATCGCCTATTTGAACAGTTCAGAAGTGAGAGACGTGGCGACTCCCGCGCTCCGTGGCTGTGGGGAGCCCTCAGGCGGCCGCCGAGGACCTGAGCCCCGAGCCTGCGGCCCACGAGGCCTGCACCGCGGGAGGGACCAGCCTGGACCTCTGCGAGCCGCGCACCGACGCAGCCTCCGGAGGAGCGGTGGCGCCTCTGCCGGGGGGTGCTCAGCTGGAGGCGAGCAGGGGCGCAGGAGGCAGCTAGCGGCCGCCATCCCCGCCCGCGCGCAGGTCAGCGCCCCGAGCAGCTCAGGTTTCCAGCCTGGGCCTGGCGTCCTGCGAGCCGCTCTCCCCTCCAGGGCTTCCCACCGTGCGCAGCAGAGGTGTGTGCGCCTCTGCCTGAGTGTGAGCGCACGTGGGGAAGGGAACGGGGGCGCGTGTGGCGGCGGCAGGGGGAGTGTGGGTGTGCGTGTATCTTTCTCTCACTCTCAGAGTGTGTGTGTGTGTGTGTGTGTGTGTGTGTGTGTGTGTGTGTGTGT